GTCGCCGCGTGGAGCTGGGTGGTGTCCCGTGGGGCCCCCCTCGCGAGTGAACACCTCGGGCCCGCCGCCTCGAAGTTTCACTTAATATGTGGCTGAAGTTCTGGTCGAAATCTTCGCAGAGAGTACTGATGCAGTTTCTGTCGAAAGGTTCATCTTCTGCATCGTTTTTCACAAGTGACCCCTTACTGGGCGGCGGGGATTCTGGAGATTCGCAAGGATTTCGTCAGGGTCCAGGCGTGTGTGTGTGTGTGTGGGGGGGGGGAGGGCTCAGACTGTGCAGATGGGCGTTGAATTTCGGGATCTCCGGAAGTGCCGACCATCGACGTCGCGTCTCTCAACGGGGCGCGCCTGCGCAGGGCCCGCGGGTTGAACGACGAGGAGGTGTGGATCATTGCTGTGAGGAGATTCGCCGGATGCATGGGCAGCCGAGGTGGGTCGCACAGGAGGCGAAGAAAGCTGGGTGGGCTGTGGCTTGCTCGACGCCCCCTCCACGTGCTGGGATGCGCTCAGTTGCGCGAGGGGGCGCGGCCGTATTCTGGCGTCCGAGGCTAGGGCGCGCTTCCGCAGATTGGCTGGGCCACGTGCTGCGCGTGCCACCTGTGTGTCCGTGTGTGCGCCTACGCAGACCGACTCTGGATGGATGGCGTCTCTGGCGGCGTGCCTGAAGAGCTTGGGCATCGATGGTTGGCGGCCTCAGCTGGAAGGCGATGTGCCGCGCCCAGTTTGGGCCGGGCTTTTAGTGCGCCCCACGAAGTATTCCTCTTGCGGCGCAGGGGGCGACGCCCGCGCGGCGCCGTGCGAAGGTGCGAAGCTACTCCCTGGCATTCCACGTCGTGGATTGGTCAGGTATTCCATGCGAGTGCCCGCGTCTGCTCGCAAGACGATGCGGCTTCATCGCGCGGCGCGACATGTCCTTGAACACATGCCGCCAGAAGGAGTCCGAGAGGAGTTCCAGCGAGAAATTGCCCAACATATTTCACAGCCCCATGGCCCTGCGATGACGGCCGAGGCGGCAAGTAGCAGGTGGAGGATGTGGCGCCAAAGAGCGGAAGAAACACTGCATATTGCAGTAGAGCGTGACTCTGTTGTGGTGGGCCGCCAGCTTGAGAGGAATAAGGTCTCGCTTCCTTCCTTCGGGGCGCTGGGCTCTGGGGCCTTCCGCCGCGTTGATCGGGCCATCAAGCTGCGGCGCCTACTTCGGTTGCATCGTCGGTTCCTGCGTGCGGCGCGGGGGGTCAGGCCGCCGTGTCTTCTTGATGTGCTTGATTGGCGCGGTCTCAAAAGTTTTGCGCGGGCGGCGGTGGGTGATTTCTTTCCTTGTCGTGGGGGTGGCACACCAACCTGTGCTGAAGCTGTTGGCGTGATATCGACGGGCATCCTGGCCGAGAGTGTCAATATATCGAAGCAGAAGACGTCGCAGTGGAAGCAGCGCTTTGCTACCTGGAGTACGGATCTGTATGGATTGACGACGCCACTGTTCGGGGCGTCGGCACCTTTTGCGTCTTTCGGATCAAAAGAGTTGCGAGGGGCTCGGGAAGAACGGTGGTGTCCGAACGATCTAGAATCGGCAGAAACATGCTGCGTAAGTACAATTCTCTCAATCTAGTTATGCGGGCGATTGGACACCGAGTTTGGAGTCTTTCGGGCAGACAGGGTTACGGGTTCAGCGGGGCTCGATGGCTGGGAGGCTAAAGAGTAATAGGGTATGAAGAAATATTTTCCAAATATCACCGTGGAGTTGCATCAGGTCTGGGTTTGCACCTCTCAGTATGCGGTGCAAATTCGCGGGCGACTACCCTCGGAAGTTCTGTCCCAGATCTTTCCATGAAGAGTGGTGGGCATGCCGCAGAACGAGTCGGACTTGAGGCCGATTTCAGTGGGGTCAAGTGTGATGCGGTGTTGGTTGAGTGAGTGCTTTGGCGATTGCTTTACCGCGACCGCGTGATGCTCAATGGGCGGGAGAGCGGGGGGTGAGCGTGGTTCGCGCGATCTCCCGATGGCTTGCCGATTGTACTCAAGCGGATGCAGGTGCGGAAGTGGGTTTGTCTCGTGCATGCGACTACATCAGCCACGAAATTGGTGAAGCTGTGTTGTTGGCCTCAAGCATTCCTGACGTGGTGGTGTACGCGGCTTTGGCAGCCTGGGCCAGGCCTCGGTTTCTAAGTGTGGGCGGTGAAAGTGCTGCTCCTGACCTTCCTCAACTTGGGTTGCCGCGGGGCGACTCGATCGCGCCGGCAGCGATTGCGCGTGCTCTTCCGCCGTGGAGGCCTTTATCAGGGCAGGCGTGCGTGGGCGACAAGGGCCTCGCGAGGGCCGCGGGAGAGCAGCTGCAGGACGACTGCGACATGGCGACCGCCTTGGACGGGCTCGCGGTTTTGTCGAGAACCACGCGAAGAGACAGGTCTGGACCAAAGAAGATGACCCACCAGCACGTGTGGAACACTTGGGTGTTCGAGCCAGGCTCGTTGATCATGGGGGTCCTATCTTGCCTCGGCTGGGGCGGGGGGGGCGCGCCGAGCAGTTGCGACTTTGGGCAGCGTTCCAGGAGGCGCAGATGTCAGAGAAAGATTGGCTGTCAGTTACATCAGACCGTTGCGGCATTGGGCCTCGCCGATGCTGGCGCCAGTTCCTGAGGACGTCGCGACGCTACTGCGCAAGGCCGTGTCGCGTTCTTCGTCTAAGTGTGGTGTCGTCGCAGATTGTGAGCTCAGAGAATGAACCTGCACCCTCGGCATGGAGGGGCGTTGTATGCACTGGCGACGGTGGTCCATGACAAGTTAGTGTGGTCACAGTTGGTTGAATCAGCTGTGTCTGCGAATGCAGAAGTGCTTGGGCTGAGCCTCGTGAGGTTTCCGCCGCAGCAAGGCTGTCTCATGGAAGTGCAGCCTGATGGCGACCGCCGAGTTATTGATGCAGTTCGCTGGAGTTTCCTGCCAGGTATTTACCGATTCTGGGCGAGACGCCATCGCGAGCAGGAGCGATGCCGAGGCAGACTGGAATATGGGCTGCGTTCGATTTCTCGGGTAAGATGTTTCCAACAAGTTAACGGAGACAGACGGGATGCGGATGGGATCTCAGAGATTGATCCTCAGATAGTTTCTCGTGCTGTACTTCAGAGGTTCGCAAAGGAGCTTGCAGAGGCCGGCGGGGAGTTGTTTGATGTGTATTTTCTGGTGGCGTGGCCTCCGAGACGCGGTGGCCGTCGAGCAAGGCGTGTTCTTTCTGTCGTGCGGGCTGGCCTTGATTTCGACATGCGTGGGCTGAATGCCCAGAGTTTTTTTTTTTGCGCCCAAGAAGACGTATTTCTCAGAAGTATGGGCCACCTGCCAACTGTTGGACTTCGGTCCCAAATATTATTGCTAAAAGTGGCTGGGAGACACTGGGGCAACAGTTACTCCTAACCAGCGAGCTTGATGATGATGGCCGCCTGCGGGTTGGCCCTCGAAATCTTGCAGCTGAAGCCTGACGCCCAACCAGCGTCTACATCCAATGGAATGGGCATCCAGTATTGGGGCTACCTTATAGTCAAGGTGTTCCCAGACACCTTCTTCTTCTTCTTCTTCTTCTTATTCTTCCTCTTCCGGGGATGAACATGCATTTCGGGATTTTGTTTCGCGACTGCAGGCCAAGGGCCTTGATGGCGAAGTGATGCGTGTTCTGCGCTCTGGGAGGGGGGAGGGTCGGTGTAGCGATGCTCGAAGGCGAGACATACAAAAGGTTGGATTAATCGAACAATCTCATCTTGTACAGGTTACCGTTGCACGTATTTGGCCCGCGAGGAACATGACCGACGCGCATGTGGAGCGTCGAGAAATAATCGTCTCCCGCGCCGAGAGCGTTCGGTTCCAGGCTCAGCGCTTCCCCCCCGCCCCTCGGCTCCCCGCAGGTCTCCTTCGGGGCGCGGGATTTGCTCGCCAGACGGAGGGGGGGGAGCGTGGGGTGCGGGGGGGGCGGGGCGACGATCGCTGCAGTTGGGCGCCCGTGGCAGCGAAGGCTTTCGTTTTCTGCACCGGCGTCAGTGTGCCCTCTGGTGTGTCCATGCGGGGCAACTCCTGGCCTGCCTTCTTCCGCCTAGAACCTTTGCAATCACGGAGGTCTCTCCCGCGACGGGCCCTCTGGCCTTTTCAGTGGAATCCCTAGGGCGCCCATGCGCGGCCAACGGCGAGCAATTGAGGGACCTGGTGTTTCCTTGCCTCTCGCAGGGGCGCCCCCAGTTCGATTTCAAGGTCCATCTCGGGGTCTCGTGTTCGGCGCCGCCCCCAATCCGCCTTTGCCTTTTTTGCCTTCTCTTCCTCCTCCTCTTCCTCTTCCCCTCCCCCCACCTCCTCCCGCTCCTCGTCCTTCTCCTCTTCCTCCAGCTAGAAGGCCCCCGAATCCCAATTCAGTGTTGTTCATGATTGGCACCGTGCGGCGCACGTGCCCTGAAGATGTGCCGCTTGTTTTGCGTTCAATTATTCTGGCGAAGCTGTTCAGCGCAGGGCTAATGAAACATTCGCGCCGTTTTCGGATGAGTTTAGGGACCGACTTCAGAAGTTCTACTCATATCGCTGCCTGTCGGCGGGCACATGTACGGATAGTTCTTTCGGTTTTCTGTGCGGAATCTGGGCGCCGACCCTTTTTTTCTCTTCAGTGGTGTGCTAGTGGCAAACAATTCTTTGTTCGCAAGAGGCTGTCGCCTGGACTTCGCCCAGACGTCCGCAAGCCTTCTCATGTCATTGAACATTACAAGGCCCTCCATTAACACCAGAGTCACAGAAGGGCCTCGAGCTGCAGAGGCTGAAGGCCATAGGGATCCACGACCCAGAGCGGTGCTCCTTCTGCCCTTGAGTGCACAAATAAAGCCTCCTCCACATCCTCCTCGTCGTCGTCGTCGTCCTCGTCCTCCTCCTCCTCCTCCGCCTCCTTCTCCTCCTCCTCCTCCACATCCTCCTCCTCCGCCCCCCCCCATTTTCGCCGACTTCCGATCCGATTGCCGATCGATCCCCCCCTCCCCCCGCGAGGAGCTCGGGCGGGCCGGCGGCACCGCCCGGGACCCCCTCGGGATCCTGAGCGGCGCGCGCCCAGGGGGCACTGCGGGCCCTTCGGCGTTCGCGTCGCGCGGGGGCGCCGCGTCGTTCCTCCGCAGGGAGCGGGTCCCCGCAGCGTTCGCCGACAGGCGCGCAGCCTCCTCCTCCCCCTGTCGGTCGGGGGCGGTTAAGAGGGGAGTGATGAACCATGGCGCCATGACCAGGGGAGGAATATCAAGGCTGGGGCCATGATATCTCCCCGGATTTCCTGGCCCCCTCCCTTTTCCCCCCTTGTCCGCGCACATGCGTCGTGTCATGATTCGCGAACCCCCCTCTTGGACACCCCGTCTTGGGTCCCCCCCGATTGCAGCGTTCGCGCGGATTTCTTAGATCGGCGCTGGACCCCCCTGGCGGCGTCTTTGACGCCGCCCCTGGTGCACTGCGCGCGCCGGCGAGGGTGGTCCAGCGCCGATCCAAGAATTTCGCGCGGAACTTCGAAAGTTTTTGTTTTTTTTTGTCCTTATTTTATTTCGGGCGTGCTAGTCTCGGCCTCCTTTTGGGCCTCCGCGTCCTCCCTCCGCCCTGCCTGTCTCCAGGCCTCGCAGACCGGGTCCGAGCAGATGGGGTCGCATGAACGCGCCGCACCGCCGATGTATCGGCGATGCGGTTCGATGTGGAGCCCGATTTTCTCCACGCCGACGGCGCCATCGTCCGACCCCATTCACGCGAACCCAATTTGGTGTTCGGCGCCTGCGCGGGCCCTCCATCCCCGTTGTTCCCCCCCTCCCCCTTCCCAGCCCCTTCATAACCATACGGTATGAATGCTACGCTCCCTCCTCCCCTGACTCCGTCCAGAAGATAGCGGGCCCTCACCGCGTGGTGTTTTTCCACACCAGGATTTCAAATATTGATTTTTCTTTTGTTTTTCACGGGCCAATGGTTTTCGGTGTTTCAAAATTGTTCCCGCGTCGGTGTTGGCACCATTTTCGGACCAGCGCTTTGTTCCCGTCTTTATGACTGGCGCCCTCGCTCCAGCGCGGGCCACTTTTTGGATCCGAGTATTGCTTTATTGTGGTCGTCTCCGTCATTTCCTCTCCGCCTTCCCCTGGTCCTCTTGTTTCTCACGCTCCTTCCGTTCCAGTTCCTGCTGCTGCTGCCGTTGTTCGTCCTCGTCCTTTTCCTCCCACTCATGCTTCTGCTCATCCGCCACCTTATCCTCCTGTGCACGCGGCTCCGCTTTTGCCGACTGCGCATCACACGATGTGGTCTTTCGGCTGGAGTTGCAGGTTTGCTATGATTTGTGTCCGCGGACGACAGAGAACATGAGTGCAATGTCAAGGGATGGGAGGGAGGGATAGGATGTCAGATGAGGCGCGAATGCACCTAGCTTGTCTTCCCCGCCTCCCACCCCCCTACCTGCCCTCCTTTTCCTCCTTCCCCTCCTCCCAGCCCCACCCCTCTCCCTTTCAGCCCCATCTAGAGCTTTTCATTTCGATGTCCAGCTTGACTTGATTGGTTCCAGATGTTCGCCCAGGAGGTCTCGCCCATCTCCCTGGGTGTATGTGGGCTGCGCGACGGTTGGTGTCAGAAAGGCCCCCCCCCCCGCTCCCGCTCTCGGGGACGGCTGCGGCGGGTGTGCGTTTCGCCGACGCCCTGCCAGGCGCTCACGACAGCCCCGTGCCTCCCTCCCCGCTCCCGGCCCCAGAAAGGCGCGGCGCCGGCTGGCAGGAGCGCGCGCAGGCCTCTGCGGCGGGCGCGCCGCCCAGGGCGGCCAGGGACGGCCCCGGGCCCTCGGGCGGACAGCAGGTCGTCGTCGTCGTCGTCGTCGTCGTCGTCGTCGTGGTGGTGGTGGTGGTGGTGGTGGTCGTGTTCGTCCACTCGCCCCCCTTGTTGCAGGCCTCCCGAATGGGGTCCATGGGGTTGGAGGAGCGCGCCGCATCGTGCATCAGCGTTGCGGCTCGAAGTGAAGCCCGATTTTCACGAGAGCGACGGCGACGATGCATCGCCGACGTCGTCGATACATCGCCGATGCATCGGCGGTGCACTGGCGATGCGGGGCAATCCTCCGAGAGCATCTACTCGCACCTTTTTGGGGAGGCCTCTACACTTCCTCTTGCCCTCCTGGTCGCCCTCCTACGCTTCTTCTTTCTTGCCGCGTCCCGTCCGCTGCCTCCCCACTGCCTCCCCACTTCTTCCTCCCCGTCCTGCCCTCTTCCTCTCTCTCTCTCTCACTCCCTCCCTCTACCTCTCCCTCCCCCTCCTCCTGCTGCTTCCTCCCGGTCAGACCGAAGGCGGGGCGGCTGGACACGTCCTTCGCGGCCAAGGTCGGTAGCAGGGGAGGCTTGGGCTTGCCGGGGGGCCGCTACGACTTCGAGGCCTTCTTCCCCCTGCAGGAGGATGATGGGCAGGAGGAGGACCACGAGGAGGAGCACGAGAATGAGCAGGAGGAGGAGGAGGAGGCGCAGGAGGAGGAGGAGGAGGAGGAGCAGGAGGAGCAGGAGGAGGAGGAGGAGGAGGAGGAGGAGGAGGAGGAGGAGGAGGAGGAGCAGCAGGAGGAGGAGGAGGATGAGGAGGAGGACGACGACCTTCGGCCCATCCCGCCATCGTGCCGCGGTTATTGGTATGAATCCTATTGGATTTTCGTTGGGATCTCGTGGGGGGCCTCTTGGGGCCTCCTGGGCGCCTCCGGGAGCCTCCTGAGGGCCTTTTGGGGCGGAATGCTTGGATTTTCGGTTCGTGTTCCCTCTCTTGGGCCCCTTCAGGGGCCGTCTTTGGGCTCTCCTGGGCCTTCTTGGGCGCCTCTTGGGCCGTCTTGGGAACTTCTTGGGCCGTTTTGAGGTCCTCTTGGAAGCTTCTTGGGCCGTCTTGAGGCGATCTTGGGGGCCTCTTGGGCCGTCTTGGAGCGTCGGGAAGCCGAACGTCGAGACAGTCAACGGGGCCTTTTGAGAGGCCTCTTAGGGCGTCTTGGATGCCTCTTGGGGGCCTCTTGAGAGGACTCTTGCAGGCCTCTTAGGGCGTCTTGGAGGCCTCTTGGGCTGTCGGGGAGCCATCTTGAGCGTCTTGGAGCAATCGTTCGGCGACTCGGGGCCCTCTTGGACCGTCTTTGGGGCCTCTTGGGGCTCTCTTGGCCCGTCTTGGGGCCCTCTTGGGCCCGAACAAGTCATGCGGCAAGATGCCGGGAACCCCAGGTGGGCACGCGCCAAAGCACCAGGAGATTTCGGAAATTCGTGTCCGGGCCCCGGAAAGACTCCTCAGGAGTGAGGATTGAGGCTTGGAGTATTAGGCAAATGACCTGAGGACACGCCCACTCCGTGCCCAGCGGCACGGTGGCCGATTTCCCCCCTCCCCCCCACAATCTAAGAGTCAAATGTGGCACGCCTTGGTATTGGGATTGGATCGCGTTCCCACCAAGCAAACGGACGGCGCACGCGCGCGGCCCTGCTTCTGACGACTTGGCGAAGGGCCGCGCAGGGGCGGGAGCGGCAATTTTTTGATGGGCGAGGCGAAGACGAAGCATGCGCCGCGTTAGCAGACGATTACCATTTTCACTCACACGCTGCGCAGCGCTTGGGCGAGGTCGGCACTTCGCCCGCTCTCGCGCGGCCCTGCTGCCGCTTTCGCTTCCATGCGATTCGGCGAACAAACCATGCGTCGCGCCCGCGCGGGAACGTTACTTCAGAGCGAAGTGCGCACGGATCTTGGACGCCACACCCCAAATTGTCGAGTGAACGCAATGTGCCGCGCCGAATCGGGAACGCCACTTTCGGGCGAAATCTGCGCGGCGCCGAGGCGAGAGCGACATTTTCGTCCGCTCGGGCGTTGACAAGGTCGCGTGCGAACAGTATGTGTCGCGTCCAACCAGGAGCAGCGCGGCGCCGAGGCGAGAGCGACGTTTCGGCCTTTCGCGCGGGATGTGCGCCCCATCCCGTTCCCGCCGCTGACGACATACTGTTCATTTTGAACATGAAGATGGCGACCTTGTAGTGTTTGTAACACGTCGGATGGGAGGTCCCAGATCCGGAAGCTATCGGCCGGCTAGGTCGCAGAGTAGGCGTATGTATCATGCAGATACGGGTGGGGCGCATGTTTAGGAACACCAGACAGAACCGACAATACACCAACGATGCTGCCAGGCCCCTTCCATCCCGATAGAGAGAGAGAGAGAGAGGGATAGATGGGGACACAGGAATAAGGAATGAGGAAAAGGAGGGGGGAACTGAGGATGAGCAAGAGGAGGAGGAGGAAGAGGAGGAGGAGGAGGAAGAGGAGGATGAGGAGGAGGAGGAGGAGGAGGAGGAGGAGGAGGAGAGCAGGAGGAGGAGGAGGCGAAGGAGGAGGAGGAGGAGGAGGAGCAGGAGGAGGGGGATTCTATGGGATTCAATGGGCCAAAACGAATCGCGACGGCCTATGCTTTCGCGCCGTGGGAGATTCGGGCCGCTTCGGGCCGACCCCGAGCCGAGCCAAAACCTCCAGGGAGCCCCTATAAGGGCTGGTTGGTGGTGGGGTGTAACCCGTTCCACAGTCGATTCAGCCTACCCCCGTTCACCCTTTGGGCCCCAGGGCGACATGGGGCGAAAAAGCCCGTCCACTTCTCTCCAGTGGCGTACCGGGCACACCTGCGGCAGAACATGTGGGTCTGGCGGTTCACGAATTTGTGTCCCGCCTTCTGTGCTCTATCGACCCTGACTCCCCCCCAGTCCAGAACGGCCCGAGACGGAAGAGTGGCAGCCAGGGGCGAGGCAGGGGGATCGGGGGCCTCTAGCCCCCCCCCCCTTCGCCCACGACCGCCCCTGGGTCCGTGGGAGTGTCCACAGGGTCCGAAGGGGGTCGGGGGGGTTCGAATCCGTCGGACTCGATCCCAGCTCAGTGTCGATAGTATCTCTGCCTAGGACTCCTATACAAACTCCGAATTCCAGGATATCACGAACGAACTGCTATTCTTGTACGTATGTTTCACGGCACCAGGCGGGGCGGGTATGATACAAGGCCCCTTGCTTCGCGTATATGTCAGCTAACTTGTTTCCTTCCCACCTCGCTCGCCCGATCGCATCGCGCTCTGACCGCGACGTGTGGGCTTTCACTTTGCACACCACTACAGTGTGCTGGCTCAGGCCGCCGTGCTCGGCGATGGCCTGGAAGATCCGCTCCCATATGTCCAGGTGCGGGCGGCTCCTCTTGTTGAGCCACGTCGGTCCAGCCTGCACTCCGTCCACGGCAGTCTGTGTGAATTCTCATTGGCGGCGCGCCCACCGTCAGCGCCTGCAGCACCGCGTAGAGCTCCGCCCGCAGGATACTCTGTGTCCACTGCGCGCCTGGGAGCGGCCCGTAGCAGGCATAGTCCATTTCATGTTCGTCGGTGTCTTTGAGCTTGGTGAAGCTCCATCCTCCTCGTCGCAGCGCTGGGTAGTCCCCGTACTGGAACGAGCCGTCTACGTAGATGTCCCCCGTCGCCAGGCAGTCCCAGTTGCCCTCGGTGAGCCAGTCGTCGCACGACTCCAGGTCCCGGAGCCTGAGCTCGACGGCGGGGTCCGCCATGATGCCTCGTCCCCATAGTTCTTCAGCTCCTGGGCCTGGCCATGGGTTGGCGCCTCGCTGCTGTATGTGTAGGCCTCCGATCACGCTGCGGTGCTGCTGGCGCGCGGGGCACACGAACGTTCGATGTCGGTCGGTGCCATGGCCCAGCCCGCACGCTCTGCATGTGCTGTCTGGTGCCACTCCCTTAGCATGCAGCCGCGCCTGCGGCCATGTGCCCCCGCAGAAGAGGCCTCGGACTCGCGTGCGATGTGCCCGCGTCCATCGCCCCTTGAGGGGCCTTCGTAGTCGTGCTTGCGCTGGCTCGACGAAGATGGAGGTGATGCCGTACTGTTGGCCGAACTGCTCCACCCACTCGTCCTTCAGCTGCTGCTCCGTAGTGCGGATGACGTGACGCTGGGTCCCCTGCAGCCTGGTAAAGCGCAGGTCGAACACTGTGCCGTCGATTGTGACTGAGTGCGCGGCCCGTGTCATCCAGCCGAGTCGCTTCACCGTCGCCGCGAACGCTCCCGCTGGTCCCCGAACTGTGAGCCAGGGGGCCTTGCACTTGTGGGTCTTCATCACCCAGGTGCGCCGTGGGCTGTGGAGCCGCTCGGCCAGCTCCGCGTCGTCGAGCGCCTCCTGCCACGCAGTTGCCCAGGCAATGATGGGGCCGCTGTTGACCAGGTTGCCTGGGTCGATCCTGTCGCTGAGGAGTGTGAGGGCAGTGGGCCTGCCCTTGGTGTTGCCCTCCATCGCCGTCGCCACGTTCTTTCTCAGCTCTTTGAGCTTGGAGCCCGCCATGCCGACGTTGGTTGCGCCGTAGAGGATCGCTGGCCCTTTGGCTTGCCTGATCAGCTTGTGCGCCGCCCCTCATGCTCTCCGCACGGCTGCCACCCGTGCCTTCCTAGCTGCAAACTTGATCGCCCGCTTGTTGATCGCGGCCACTTTCCTTCGTCTGCATGCTGTGCCTGTGACTCCCAGGTGCTTCTCGTGCTTGACTACTCTCACGCCGAGATGCCTGGTGTTCGCGCTGAGGTGCTTGCCCAGCGCGGTGGAGGATGTCAGGGCGACCGTCTTCCCTTCCGCGCCCCTCGAGACTGCCATGTCTAGCTTCACCTCGAACATGTGTGCCACGGGCGCCACGGGCAGCGGGTGGAAGTGGTGGGCGAACTCGCTGATGCCGTGCGTGGCCATGGCGAGGTCGTCGAAGAACAGGCACGCGTCCGCCCGCGAGAACTGGTACACGAGCTCGTCCAGTTCCAGGATGATCACCATCTTGAGGCAAAAGGGCGCGTACCTGCTGCCCGCGACGATGCCGCGCTGCCGCGCCCTGCCCTCGGTGTAGCATCCGTCCAGGACGATGCGCCTCACCATGCCGTATATCTTGAGTACAGTGCGCATTATGACTGGGTTGAATTCCCAGCGCTGCGATGCCTCTCATACCTTGCGATGTGTAACCCGCTCGAAGCACTTGGCTAGGTCGAAGTAGGTCACTGCATACTCATGTCCTTCGGCGCGCGCGGCCTCCCCGTAGAGGGCCTGCAGCCGCGCCGCGCGCTCCGATGATCTCCCGCGTCGAGCCCAATCGTAGGCTCTCTGGTTGGCTGCCTCCCAGCGCCTGGTGCACGGCATGCGGGTGGTCTCCCACGCGCGCGCCAGCTCGGGAATGAGGCCTGGGATGCGGAAGCCTCCTGCTGCCTTCGGTGTCAGGTAGAAGAGGACGGTGGCCTGCGTCGCGGGCCACGGCGCTCCTCGCTCCACCGCACCTAGCACGCGTGCTACGCGTGCCGCTCCCTGGAACCCACCATGGCGCCAGAGGCGCGGGTGCCAGTCTGCTTCTCCAAGGCCAGCCTTGGGGCGG